TTATTCTGAATGAAGATAACCTACTTGAAGTATGAATTGTCGAAGATAAGAGGGTTTGAAGTCCATGCTCCCTCAAATCCTGATCGCTCCTTGTGGCACCTCCCCTATAAATTTGTCAGCAAAAAACACATTAATCAATATGATAAAATTATAGGATGTCAATTTGTCAAATAAATTAACTCTGGAGAATTTATGTCACTAACCAGAGTGTGACCCCCAGAAAGAGCAACGATGTCCTGGTCACTGAGACCCATATGGCCAAATACATCTCTGAGATGGTTATTCTGAATGAAGATAACCTACTTGAAGTATGAATTGTCGAAGATAAGAGGGTTTGAAGTCCATGCTCCCTCAAATCCTGATCGCTCCTTGTGGCACCTCCCCTATAAATTTGTCAGCAAAAAACACATTAATCAATATGATAAAATTATAGGATGTCAATTTGTCAAATAAATTAACTCTGGAGAATTTATGTCACTAACCAGAGTGTGACCCCCAGAAAGAGCAACGATGTCCTGGTCACTGAGACCCATATGGCCAAATACATCTCTGAGATGGTCAGAACCTGAAATCATCAAACAAACATTTATTTTATTAAAAAAAGATTATAATTTTTCCGTGTAATTAATTAAACAAAGGAAAATTTAAAGAAAAATATGCATTGCTTATTACACACCTTTAGTGGCATCAGGAAGGCGGCCTTCTTCCGGTGGTTCTGGCTTGTCCTGAGAAGGAATGACAGGCATTTATATCAAATCATCACCACATTTTCAACATAAAGTAAACATAGATGAAAACTAAAAATTCGAGGGAAATTGTAATAAAACCAGTTTAAATAGTCAAACAAAGCGGAAAAAATATTAAACTGACATGCTCTATTTTTAATTAAACCTCTAATACACCATAACATTAATCCAAAGGGATATGAATGCTTTCACCATCACTACAATGACTGCAATTGAGAATACATAACAATAAAAATCGAATAATAGGAACACATGTAATTTAATTTTAACTCTTGAAACTGAATGAATTAACTCAAAATATGTCTGTATTCATGCTTGCAATCTCCGGTCTTTTTCGAACTATCGTACTACTATAATTTAACAGCAATACTAATTGATTGGTTCCCTTCATTGATTCATGCAAAAATGTCTCAGTTCTCTAGTTATTCTTACATCCAACTAACCTTCAAAGTAGTCATCTGAATTGATTTCGACATGTAACGTAAATACTAAATACTAATAACTAAAATGGCATAGCAAACAAACCCATCGAATACAATGTCAATGTAAATGAATTCAAAATTCATATTCATTTATCATAATATAAGCGCAATAAGTAGAACTACACGTCTAATTTGCACTGTTAAAGCTTCTTGCACATTCTAGCACATGCTAATCCTCTCTCTTCTTAGAAGATATGGGGAAATGTTTTATAATTAAAGAAATTTGAATTTTGTTCCTACTTCACATCCCTAGTAATTTAGCAAAATTTACTGAAAAGTAAATATGAAAGTCAATAAACACACTACCCCCCTTCCAGTTGATTTGTTAGTTTTATACTTATGCCAGTTCCATTAGATTTTGAGAGAAAGTATCACTTGGATCTGGTCCAGCAATAATTCAACACCAAATCTTAATTGAAAAATGGGTATTTTATGGTATTAGACCATAACCATTTTATTAACTGTATGTTTGACCCTCACATCTCCGTATTTTTTTAAATCCACTACACAAGTCCAGCAATAAATTAGGGTATTTTTTTAATTCACACCCCCCAAAATTTATGGTATTAGACCGTAACCATTTTATTAACTGATCTTATTTTGATATCTAGAAATCAGAAGATTTTGGGGGTGCATACAAAACCAAGGGCTAAATTACCAAATTGGTATTTTTAATCGACCCTCTTAGCCAGTTTGGTATATTTAAAAAATCCGGTGACAACAATGTATTTTATCAGGGCCCTACTTGCCAATAAGACACTTTTCCTTGAAATTCCGACAGAAAAACTTATTCTACCTCCCTAACCTCTCAAAATTATTAAATACACACCATTTTCCTTAAAAATTCCGGCAGGAGGATAAGAGGGAGGAGAGGGAGGGGAGGAGGTTGGCGGGGAAGGAGAGGGAGGGGCAGGATGAGGAGGAGGTGATGACGGATTGCTCGGGAAAGGCGGGGATCATGGTGGGGATGGGAGTGGTGGAGGAGGATGAGAGGGGAATGGGAGAGGGATGCAGTTGGAGGGGAAAGGGGAGGCGGAGGAGGGGAGGAGAGGGGAATGGAAGAGGAGGAGGACGAGGAGGACGAGGAGGAGAGGGAGAAGGAGGGGGATGCATATTTTTTCTGATAATTTTGGGCATAGATTTAATAATTTTGGAAGATAAGGAGGGTTAAAACATATTTTCTTATCGGAATTTTGAAAAAAGGGGAAAATGCTTCCAGCCCCCAAAACCAAAAGAAACATGCTTCCACCCCCCAAAACTTTTTCAACGGGCTCTTTGCCCCCAAAAACTTGCGCGATTTTCTTCTAGCCCCCAAAACACCCCCCACGTGATATGTTGTTTAAAACCAACATAAATATTCCCAAAATACCCTTTGTTTCCTTTTTTTATTTGTGCAGAGGAGAGAGCTGGACCCCGCCACCTCCCCCCACCTGGACCCCGCCAAGACACCGCCCACGTCCGCTCGGGAAAACACTTCCTGCAAATAATATCAGCTCTAAGTTCGTTAATTTTCCAGTAAACCCATAGGAAAGCAAACACAAACTCCTTTTGTCCTAGTAAAATCATGCCTTCTATTGCTTATTTGTTTATCGGTGTATACTGTAATCATTTTGGATCAATTATTTATTTTTGAGCATGAACTATGGACGAATGATATAACATACAAGGAAGTTCATTATCCAGCTTTTCTATATTCGTAGTATTTCCCTTGCTCGTGGTGGATGTGTGGCCATGCTAAACGGTAATAGGCAAAGCAGAAGTACTTTTCTGTGTTCAAACTTCATTGACAAAAGTCTCTAATCGTAAAGTGTTAAATGACAAAAGTCTCTAATCTTACGAATTTGGGTTCACAGAGCATTTTCCCTAATTTTAATGAAATTTTCAAAAGCCAAGCGATTTACGTGTTGGTTGTTAAGGTTAGCGTTGGTTGTTAACAAGCAACGCGTAACCTTAACAAGGAACCCGTAACCTTAACAATCAACGCGTAACTTTAACAAGCAACCCGTAACCTTAACAACCAACACGTAAATCACTTGACTTTTGAAAATTTCATTAAAATTATGGGAAAACACTTCCTGCAAATAATACTTTACGATTAGAGACTTTTGTCAATGAAGTTTGAACACAGAAAAGTACTTCTGCTTTGCCTATTACCATTTAGCATGGCCACACATCCACCACGAGCAAGGGAAATACTACGAATATAGAAAAGCTGGATAATGAACTTCCTTGTATGTTATATCATTCGTCCATAGTTCATGCTCAAAAATAAATAATTGATCCAAAATGATTACAGTATACACCGATAAACAAATAAGCAATAGAAGGCATGATTTTACTAGGACAAAAGGAGTTTGTGTTTGCTTTCCTATGGGTTTACTGGAAAATTAACGAACTTAGAGCTGATATTATTTGCAGGAAGTGTTTTCCCATAATTTTAATGAAATTTTCAAAAGTCAAGTGATTTACGTGTTGGTTGTTAAGTTTACGGGTTGCTTGTTAAAGTTACGCGTTGATTGTTAAGGTTACGGGTTGCTTGTTAAGGTTCTACGTTGGTTATTAAGGTTACAGGTTGCTTGTTAAGGTTACGGTTAACATTAACAAGCAACCCGTAACCTTAACAAGCAACGCGTATAACCTTAACAACCGACGCGTATAACCTTAACAACCAACGCGTAACCTTAACAAGCAACCCGTAACCTTAACAAGCAACCCGTAACATTCACAATCAACGTGTATAACCTTAACAATCAACGCGTAACCTTAACAACCAACGCGCAACCTTAACAACAAACACGTAAACCGCTTGGGTTTTGAAAATTTCATTAACAAGCAACGCGTAACCTTAACAAGCAACCCGTAACCTTAACAATCAACGCGTAACTTTAACAAGCAACCATTAAACTTAACAACCAACACGTAAATCACTTGACTTTTGAAAATTTCATTAAAATTATGGGAAAACACTTCCTGCAAATAATATCAGCTCTAAGTTCGTTAATTTTCCAGTAAACCCATAGGAAAGCAAACACAAACTCCTTTTGTCCTAGTAAAATCATGCCTTCTATTGCTTATTTGTTTATCGGTGTATACTGTAATCATTTTGGATCAATTATTTATTTTTGAGCATGAACTATGGACGAATGATATAACATACAAGGAAGTTCATTATCCAGCTTTTCTATATTCGTAGTATTTCCCTTGCTCGTGGTGGATGTGTGGCCATGCTAAATGGTAATAGGCAAAGCAGAAGTACTTTTCTGTGTTCAAACTTCATTGACAAAAGTCTCTAATCGTAAAGTGTTAAATGACAAAAGTCTCTAATCTTACGGATTTGGGTTCACGGAGCATTTTTCCCTAATTTTAACATCGCTTTGATGTTTTCTAAACATCAAAGCGATGGGAGGGGGGATTGGGATGGGAAATCCGACGGCAGCTACAATCACGCACGTGCTTACTAATAAGAGGAAGTTTCCCTTCACCGACGGGGCGGAGGATCTGTTGGTGGTGTCCCTGGGGAGCTCCAAGGCGCTGAATCTTTGTTGCGGGGAGGTTAAATTGGCAGCGAAGGTTGCGAGGATCGCCGGCGAAGAAACGATCAACGCGGTGGATCAATCGGCAGCGAAGGTTGGTAAATCGCTTGGCTTTTGAAAATTTCATTAACAAGCAACGCGTAACCTTAACAAGCAACCCGTAACCTTAACAATCAACGCGTAACTTTAACAAGCAACCCGTAAACTTAACAACCAACACGTAAATCACTTGACTTTTGAAAATTTCATTAAAATTATGGGAAAACACTTCCTGCAAATAATATCAGCTCTAAGTTCGTTAATTTTCCAGTAAACCCATAGGAAAGCAAACACAAACTCCTTTTGTCCTAGTAAAATCATGCCTTCTATTGCTTATTTGTTTATCGGTGTATACTGTAATCATTTTGGATCAATTATTTATTTTTGAGCATGAACTATGGACGAATGGTATAACGTACAAGGAAGTTCATTATCCAGCTTTTCTATATTCGTAGTATTTCCCTTGCTCGTGGTGGATGTGTGGCCATGCTAAATGGTAATAGGCAAAGCAGAAGTACTTTTCTGTGTTCAAACTTCATTGACAAAAGTCTCTAATCGTAAAGTGTTAAATGACAAAAGTCTCTAATCTTACGGATTTGGGTTCACGGAGCATTTTTCCCTAATTTTAACATCGCTTTGATGTTTTCTAAACATCAAAGCGATGGGAGGGGGGATTGGGATGGGAAATCCGACGGCAGCTACAATCACGCACGTGCTTACTAATAAGAGGAAGTTTCCCTTCACCGACGGGGCGGAGGATCTGTTGGTGGTGTCCCTGGGGAGCTCCAAGGCGCTGAATCTTTGTTGCGGGGAGGTTAAATTGGCAGCGAAGGTTGCGAGGATCGCCGGCGAAGAAACGATCAACGCGGTGGATCAATCGGCAGCGAAGGTTGGTTTTGGGGGCGGCGACGACGGCGGAGGAGGCGATGATGGTAGGAGGAGGGTGGCGGCAGCGGCGGGTGGAGAGGTGGGGGAAGGAGGAGGGAGAGCAGAGGGCCGGATTGCATGGTTAGAGAGAAAGAGAGAATGGGTAGAATGGGTATTATAGTCTTTACCTGTGTAAAATTCTTGGGCTTTGTGTTTTGGGGGCTCAGTGAATAATTAGTTTACTTTTGGGGGCAAAGAGCCCGTTGAAAAAGTCTTGGAGGTGGGAGACATGTTTCTTTTTGTTTTGGGGGCTAGAAGCATTTTTCCCTTGAAAAAAATATCTTACCCATAAATAAAGTGGTAATAAAATATATTGTTGTCGCCAGATTTTTTAAATATAACAAACCGGCAGCGAGAGTCGGATAAAAATACCAATTTGATGATTTAACCCAAAACCAAGAAAGAATTTAAAGTTTATACTAATACCACAAAATACATAAAAATAAAATAAAATTTACGTCCAAGAAAATTGAACAATTACCTCCCGACCAGGATGGAAGGGGATCTCGGGTCCTCCGGTAACCTCAACAGCCACAACTCCAGCCAACTACAAAATATCAAAAAACGGCACATAACATTCGAAAATTATTAAAAAAAAACTCACGAATTTTCAACTTTTTTCACATGGATCCGGTCACCCACCTGGTAAAAGTCACCGTAGGACAGGATCGGGAACTGCTCCTTGATCGGCTCCAGGAGACGAACAGCGATGTCCAGCCCGCTGTTCGCTCCGTGCGCCAGCTCAGCAGCGTGCTTCATCGTCCCGAAAGGGCCCCCAGTCTTCGTCTTCACGTCGTAAGTCCCAGCCGAGTGCCACCTATTATTCGTTTTACCCCCTCAAAATCAGAAATTTACACAAAAGGCCTACTTTTTTCAGCAGAAAGTAAAAAAGTCCAGGGGGTCCTCACGCTAATCGGAGCATCAAGGGGGCGCAGTTCTTCTCGGCGATGAAACCGCGGAGCTTCCTCTTGCATCTCTCGACGGCTTTTTGGTACTCCTCGCTCACCGTAGGATAAGATTTCACCATTTTCCGCAAAAAAAAAAATTTTATAAAGATTAGTAAAAATAGCACAGAGAGGAGGGGAACGACGCGAGATGGGCACGCGCCTCTACTTATGCTAGCGAGAGGAGCTTTCTAGGGAGGGTTACCGTAAATGACGATTTTGCCCTTCCTTTTCAGCGGATCTTGGCTTGTTTTTTTGGCATCGACTGTGGGTGGTTGGGGCCTTGGGCTTTCGCACGGTGTGAACGGGGTTTTTGGATTTGAAGATTC